TGTCAAGGTCAGGGACAACCAACGTGCATCAGTTATTCGTACGCCATGGACTGGCTCATGCAGCAGTGGTTTCGCTCTCGCTTGTATCTACTTTAACCAATATATTTCTGTAATAACGTTCTCTGTGTTGTACAATCTTTAAGGCAGCTTTAGTACTTTGATACGTCAATGGAGTGGTTCACGTAAGTTACCGACCACGAGGTGTGACTTCGACGTTAGCTGGTTCGTCCCACCATTCCCATCTAACTTCAGTAGGCCTCCGATCATTCGACATGGACCATCTACGTTGGTGATCTACACTGGTGAGCAAGACTTCGAATAATGCAACCTATCACTATAATCGTTATTATTGCGACCTATACTTCTTCATTTTTATCATCGCCCATGTTGATCTATTACTGTGAACTTTCGTTGCTTCATGTCAATATTGATTAGTATTTAAACTTAAATAACTAATTTAATAAATAGGACCTACCAATCAACTCCGATTATAATCATTTATCATGGTTCGTTAACAAGCATTAGCAGCATTTAAATGCTCCTGTGTAATGTGTCTTAAAATATCAACCACTCGTGAGTATAGCCACAGGAAAACACGAACGCACATCTGTTTGTAACTTATCCACTGGTATAAGCGAGACAGGATTAACTGTAGACTATAAATTCATCTTTCTGCTTAACCGCTATCCACTGGAGTGTTTTAATTTTTTACCACTGCCTGCCTAATTTCCAACCGCTGAGTTCCATGGCCAAACAGAGGATACGAATGCTGGAAATTTATGGTGAGTTTGAACTATACATTTTCTGCAACCTTAGATCACGTTTAGACTGTTCGTCAGGCAATGTTACGTATTTGGTTTAAATTAATTTTCGACTTATACAAATTCAGTCTAAGACGCTGTGTTAATCCAAGAATTTAATCAACAGTACCTCGTATGTGATCCAGATTCAAAATATTGTCTACTTCATATCTTCATTACTTAGAAGCAAAAGTAACCCAGGAGACTTTTATCATTTCATTAGATTATTTCGTACTATTTTTATGATGCGTGATAACATTTCGTAGTTGCTTTCATGTAAAGTAGCCATATATCCTGTCACTGCCGTTAAGTTTTAGTCGACATCATGTACATTTATGACTCGTTAGTTGACTTACTGTGGTAAAACATATTGCATGTACACGAGCACGCTTAGTCCATGTTCCATGTACACACGTTGTCGTACTTAATATGTCACTTAACGCTACGTAATAAGCTCTTTGTATCAGCCCTTTACGAAATAGCCACGTTACCTGGACCCTCTAAACCTTAGTTACATTGGTGGTTACCATTTTAATTAATGTTTACCATACTCCTTGTATTTGCTATTATTTCACACGGTAAATCATGGTTCGATTTCGTTATTACACGACAGTCCTTTTAATTCTATTTTCGGTTTATTTATATGCAATACGGGTTTGGAAAATATCTAAACGTCCTCTAAAATTCTCCACGAACCCAACCATCGTTTTCGTATATGTTTTATTCACACATCCAACTGTTGCGCTAATAATACCTAAACGAACGTTCGGTGCAACTGTCAGTAAACATAAGGACGACGTTATTTAGATTTGACTGTGTAGCATATCTGAACTATTTTAGTTATTCTACTTCGATATCGTGCTTCATTTTATCAAGTATTGTTTCCTTGTGACTGTTATCTAATAGATGATTTCAGTACATCAATCGGCTGTTCAACTACTACTTATATCAATTTTCGGGTAGACACAAATCTGTGAATCTTTCGCCATTGTCGTTCCTTTCGCCCAGTCAGTGCGTATTGTCACATAAAATATTCATATCGCGTGTTTTCCATCCGACATTATTGTTTAGGCCTACCTTATGGATTGTCAGGTCTTTTTTGGGCACTTGTGGTGTCGGACAGACTGAGGATGAACTTAACAAGAAGACATACAACCGATTGCAAACACTTATACTTCTATTTAAGCTGTGGCGGATGTGGTGTTTGAATTGACTGATGATACTTTTGTACATGTTGATGGCTTGATTTCGAATTCCAAATACAGTACATTCGTTTGTGCCTGTCTTCTTAATTCAATTGCGTTATTTCTTGGACTCTTAGTTAGTACTATAATTCAAACAATTAGAAATATTATAGCACTCCACTACAATTGACTGCAGCCTCTCATAAAACTCATCTTTTCCGTCTTCGTTGCCATCATTGGTGTGTGTATAACATTCATAGTAATTCCCTCTTTCTTTGTTTTGAAGGGTGCTTTGATGATTCAGGGTCCACGAGATTCCAATCATATGAGTGTTTTACGTGCTTCTTTAGACATCATGAGAGCAACACCCAGTGTGTGTAGCATTTTACTCTTCGTGATCATAATACAGCAACATCTTTTCCGTACGTAACATTTGCTCTCCAGCTTCGGTCCAATGGATTTGCCTGATTTCCAGAACCGCCAAGTTGTATCTTCTCATTTCCATTGCAGAGTTTAACTGTTTGGATTTGTTTATTCTGGTCAGCGTTTTTTTTTCAGCAAGATTGTTTTCTACGGGATGAGGTCGCTGACCCATACCCAACTTTTTTCCTTTATTCAACCTCGGGACCTACAGTAACACTTGAAGAGCTACAAGTGAAGTTGATTATGTGATCAAGAGACGTAATAAGGTTAAAGATTGGCTTACAGTAACACCCAGAAAAAGAAAATTAAAAAAACATAGTTAAACCTCTGCTTCTGACGCCAAATCAGAATGTTGTTAAAACTCCACAGCGATTTAAGACGGACCTCGCTGATAAGTCAGTCACTTTTCATAAGTTAAGAAAATCCTCAGAAAATGAACAAAATGGTACATTTGATGGTAACCTCAGCCAAATTAGGTCTTTATTCGGCAAGGTACTTATAGAATTAGCATCTGTAAGCTTTATAGAATAGAACAAAAAATGGATTGTGAAAGTACTCAGAAGAACTGCCTCTTAAAAGTTGCTTTTGCTTCGGCTGATGAACAAAATCTAATACTGAGAAACCCACGCAAACTGATTGGACCCAGAAAACACATCCGCGAGGATCTCAGCCTGTTTGACCGCATTAAGAGATGAGCTGCAGAAGTATAAATCAATGAGCGCCTACGAAAAAGTTAAAAAACTCCATACTTTAGTGTTTTTAGAATGTAAATGTTCGGAGCAAAACGATCCCCAAACCACTCTGTTGGTAAGGGAAAGTTCTCAACAAAATTAAAGGTGTGCTGCACAAATGCTCTCAACCTACTAAATAAAATGTAGGGGCTCAGGACAAGTGTGTATATAGAAAAGCCGGATATCACTACTGTCTAAGATACATGTTTAACGTCAGATTGTTTGATAGTGAAACTCAGTTGACTAGTCTTTATCCAGTAGGGTTGATAGACTAAGCCGTAGGTGAGCTGAGGCTATGCTGTACACGAAAATTGCCTTAATCATATGAGCTGTCGAGACAGTGGTATATGATAAAGGGACATGTGAACATTTGCACTACGGGCTGAAATGTATACCGCAAGAAATTGAATTACTTATAGTATGCCGCAGTCATAAATGTGTAGTAGATGACTTCCTCCTAAGCGAACTTAAGTCCTGGTGTAATAGAGGTGAATGTCTTAAAGTAGGAGACTTTAAGACACCGAGTATAAACTGTGGAGACTTAGAAGTAGGGTTATCAACAACATCATTTGATTAAAAATTGTGATCAGAAAACAGCAGAGGCCATGGCAAACTATTTCGGGGCAGTTTTCACTTATGAGCCTCTTCCAGACGAAGAACTAGACTCAAGTACCAAGTCAACAAACCACCTGCTCGCCGAAAAATTTGATCGAGACGATGTAATTAAGGGCCTTAACACAGTAAACACGGAAAAATCAACAGGACCAGATGAAATATACACCAAATGGCACAATACATTGCAGCCCTACTGACTGTGGTATTCAATATCACCTGGCTAAGGTGAGTTACCTACGAACTGGAAAGATTCATTCGTCACTCCAATACATAAAACAAAATCAAGACAACTTCCATCAAACTACAGATCTGTCAGTCTCACTAGTGTCGTAGTTTAAATACTGAAAGACATTCGTGTAGATCAATAACTTGTTAAACAGTGAACAACATGTTTTCAGAAAAGGTTGCACAACGAACCTCCTTCTAGCAAGGGAGCGATGGAAAAAGGCACTATACAATGAAAAATCAGTGTCTACATAAACTTCCACAAAGCGTGCAACAAGATGTCAACAAACAGTCTGTTACTGAAGCTGAGAAATTATGGCATTGTCGGACCTCTCTAAAATGGACGATCAGTGAGAGTAAATTCAAATAGCTCCACCCAGAGAACAGTACTTTACGGAGTACTGCAAGGTTCTGTCCTAGGTCCTTTACTGTTATACTGCATGTAAATGAACTTCCAAATATAGTTGAGTCCCTAATGCTGCTATACGATTATAATGTAAAAATCTGGCGAGAAATAACAGGAGACGCGTATGTATACACACTTCAGGCAGTCTTAAATATTGTGATTAGCTGATCTAAAAAGTAGCTGATGCCTTTCAAAGCGGCGAAGTGTGTCTACACGCATTTCAGAGATATAAAGGCACATAGGTACAGCATGGGGGAAGTACTTGTACCCATGGTCCAGTTTCGCAGTTTCTTTAGGTACCAATGTGTTATGAACCTGCTACCCGAAGAACTTATGTCCGCACTTTAAATTGACCCATTCAAAAGAAGACTATACACTCACAGAAGCACACCTGAAAGGGAATAGTATAGGCCGTAGGCCTTCTGTCTTTACTACACAAAACTGAACCTGAGTATGAATCTCTATACTGAACTTATTAACCCCTTAATTAACTGTCAGGTCCATAAAAATTGATACAGTAGATTGACCAAAATATACCATAGATGATAACGGAGACTTGGAACCATACCATAACATCCAGAAAATGCAGTGAGCAAATCACGTAGTAAATAGATATTGGACACTGAGGTGACCTTGCACGGCCTTGAGCGCATGACTTTTCCGAAGGCTGTTTTCTTCGGAGATTCTCTAACCCAGGTGATAATGGTTTGCGCTTTTTTTAATTTATCCTCCAAAGTAGTAATATTGTGACTTATATACACATTTTCTGTTAAAATTAGTTTAAGTATTCATATTGCCAATGTCTTTGAACCGTATCTTTACACCACCCAATCTCCCGATTTTGGGGAAGCCGCTATCGAAAATCCTGGGGAAATGGCACCAAAATCTCCGACCAAACCTTGGTTAAGGTCATTTGGCTCTGGGGATTTCCCCAAACTCGAGAGATTATTGAAAATAGTCTGTGGGTTTTAGGTCTATCTATTGAGAGCTTGGAGTTAGGTGGCTAAAGTATCGTACTAATGACCCTGTCAAAGTCGAACACCAGTTGGTAGCTCAGCCTAAATATTTCGGGTATCACGTCAAAAGTTCAGATCTTCATGAAGGTCGTTTGGCATTGATCAACGTCAAATATATTTATTGTCGCAAATATTACTTAATAAACTGGTCCATTATCGTAAGAAAATTTTCAGCTGAAAACTAGCCCCTAATTGCTTGCTAATCCGCATTACCGCCGTAAACTGCCCGGCGCTATGATGAGACGATTCAACTAAACCCAGTTTTATTTCAATTGTGCTTCCACCGTATATAGGCTGGTCATATATGCCTCCCAAAATAAGAACTTGAATTCCAAACGTCTTGATCAAAAACGTCCGCAATCATGTCGTGCATACAATAATTTGTATTTATTTTGTATCAATTTCAAACAAGCACATCGTCCAAACTTTAGAAACTTTGTTATACCTTAGTCCTCAATAGACTAGTTTACTTATTTTTACCATTTATATGGTATCAAACAACTTGTGCTGGATATGATAGGTTGAAGTTTAAGACCTTAGAATTTTGATTTCCCTCGTAATTTAGTATTTTGCTCTCAATAGGAATGAATTGGTTGAATGTATCATAATACACTTAACTAATATCATTTTACCTTCGATGTTTCGTATTATATAACACATAGTCACAGTAGGTCTTTAAAATACTCAAGTTTGCTGTAGCATTAGTGGTCGTTTACTGTAAATGACGATATAATCGGTCGAAAAGTTTCATGAACTGATATATATACTGAGAAACTATAATTATGTTACTGTAACGTCAATGTTATTCAGAATAGCAACTGAAAATAGAAGTGTGAGATTAAAACTCTCAGTTGTTTACTACTAGGTAAAATAGTTATAATTATCAAATTAGAATTGTTCTACCCCCTAAATAGAACAAAATTTCATTGCAGACTAAGAGTGTCTTACGAAGAGATAATCCAATCAAACAGGAGGTAATATTGAGAACCCCACTTGGCCATAGATGCAGCTGTAATACGATAATCAGTTTCGCATATCGTGATGACGCAGTCAAACAATATTTGCTAAAATTCTTGTTACCATGGATCGTATCATAGCATCCTGGTTAGTTGTAGGGCGGTAACACTAAAAGCCGCAAGTTTAAAGCCATAGTTCGTACTACCGACTGCCCACGAGTGTGACTGCAGTAAGATTTCTTCCCCAGACAACGTGGATATTCAGCAATGTCACCTCACAACAGGTAGGAAGTAAAAGATATCTGGAACAAAAATGCCAAATCTCACGCGCCCTACGAACTTCCATCTCAGGTTTGAAAAGCTAACACTAGAAACTAAAAACGAATAGGTCGTGTGTGGCCAGGCTTAAGCAATCTTTAATACCACTCCTAATTCAGTTCCTTCTTCTGGTATTTTAAGAAGTGTTATTATAGTATAGGCAACTGCCATCATACTTCTAACATCACTTAAGATCACCTCAACATTTCCATTTTTTAATCCTCATCTACGGATTCATCCATACTTACTACTAATGCCAACGATTCACGTTCGCGACATTCTATCCCAGTATGATAATTAAAAGTAATCGAATTGATGCTTTCCCAGAATATTCTTACTTAGGGTAAATAAAACATTGAATGTAACTGAACCTATTGTATTTGAACTTCGAATTAACTGCGAAACCAAGTACAAGGGAACCATCAAGTAGTACAAATACCACACCTAAGTTTCCCAAAACCCCATTCCGAACTGCATGTTGGAGCTATCAGCACATGAAATCTGTTAATTCCAGCAACAGATGTCACTATCTAAAATTTCATAGCATCGACATAAGCTGTTTCCCAAACACCCATGCAGGATCACAACATGGTCAACTACTTGACCTCAAGTAGTCAGTATCGAGAGCCAAAGGAATATACCCTTCTTGTATCTAAAGACGCGACTAAAATTCCTCGTGGTCTAGTAAGTGCAAGTATAACACTAGGTTCTACATCAGAACGAGTACCTCTTTATTTGATAATCGATAGTCGCTTATATGCTGTACGACCAAGTGGAAAATTTGGAACTCTGAAGGTTAGAGACACTTGGTTTTTTGTCGTTGCTTTCTGTATGCAACTAAGTGAAGCTCGAACGAAATGACCGATGTTTTCAAGGATTAGGTTTAGAAATCGGTTAATCATGGTAAGTAATTCTCTGTTTATTTACTCAACTTTTTAATGGGTTAAATCATTGTTTTTCTGTGGTCATTTATTAGCTATGCACATAAGATATATGTACCACGTATAAGGCCGTTTCTGGTGACAGTAAAAGCTCTTATAACGGACAGCACTTTTTCTCTGTTGTGTGGGCCGGTGCGACCGCTATAAAAGTGGTTGTCACGTGGCAATAACAGATATTAGACCCTTGTTACTGATTTCAAGTGTCACCCTGACTTGAACGAAATATAATTCCATTACCACAGCGTTTCAAATGTTTTGAATAAATATTTGTATATTATTACAAAGCTTTGTGGGAAAATATCGTAAATACATTATTGCTTAGATTATTTTCTTTACAAGTAATCGAGTCACTTACGTATCAATTTTACAGAACAAAATGAGTTTTATTGCGGTTCCTGAACCATTTGCAACAGTTTGCTTTTGGAATGTTTAAAGGACAGTTGTGTCGACATAAGTAGTATATGACACTAGCCACAAGTGAAATGCATTGTAGCAGAAGGTTAAAAAGATCGAATTGAAGAGACCAGGAATGCAAATAGAGAGTGATTGTAATAACAATAGGAATAAAAGAACGATTAAGGTTGTAAGAGACAATTGATGGGAGATGTGCAAATAAAGTATTTATTGTAAGGTTTTCATATTTTACGAAGACATTCTGCAATTTGTATTAAACAATAGATTGGCTTTCTCCGTTTGAGTTCTTGTTCACTGCACAATGTCTTGAAAATCGAGCTTTTGTTTTACTGCAACATGATGTAATGCTCTTTAAGCAAATTTATAATGTAGGGCAAATGATAACAAAGTGGTTTGTTACATTTGTATTGGAGAAAATAAGTTTAATGAAGTACCGTGAGTGCTGTGCAGACAAGTGTTGAAACTATAAATTGAAATATTCCGCTTCTCGATATCATGGAGTTCTAATTGCAATGTGTCTTTGTTGCCTTGGATATGCCACCAAATGTTTGTTGTAGTTAATAAGTTATTTTATCTCATGACTCTTCCTGATTATGTTCATTTTGTTTCAGTTTGGTTGGACTCATGAAGGCGGTTGGCTATCAATCCTGGCATCTATTTTTGTCAGGTACGTTGTGTATATTTAATCACTGACTTTCGCCCTTACAGTCTTAATATGCAATTATATTCACTAACTACAAGGAAATCTATTGTGGTTTATCTAGAGCGACAATCGTTTAAATATCGCATGTGGTCATTACAGTTTTTTGTCGATTTGCAAGTTAACCTTGGTAATTTTGTAGGAACCGTCAAATAGTACACGTTCGTTTGCAATATCATGTCTGCAATTTCTTAGTAAAGTTTAGGTTGACTCCTCATCAGTTGATTTGTCATATTGAGTAGTGGATTAGTGGCAAATCCTACGACCAAAAATCATTCTAGATTCAAAAAAGCTAAGGTTACTCGAAGTCAGTTACACTGGAGCAGATGTATTCATTATTTATCTTACAGATCTAAAACCTGGTACTCCATTGACTTTTCTGTTCTAACCCGTTAACATCGAGTTTCTTCCAACTATATTGTTTTTTACACACTCATATGCAAGTTCCTTTACTTGGAGATGTTTATTTGTGGCCGACTTAAAAGGTTGTTATGTAATCGACCATTTGAATCGAGTTGTTCTGTGTGCTAAGATGCATTTCTCCCTTTTCAACAGTACTTAGCTTGGTTGTTTAATATTTAAATACAAAATGAGTAGTAAAGTGTTTTCGACTGATAATACCTGTATATAATACCAAAGATAATATCTTCAATTATATGAAGCAATATCTTTGTGAATAAAGGACTAAATTTAAAACCATTAGATTCCAGGTTCGTACCACGTCCTATCTACTTCGAATTTATCAGATGGGTAGTCTGTCTATTTCCCAGCAGTGCAGACTTCAACTGAGTGTTGGATCTCGTATTTGGTTAGTATCGTGAATTATTACTATCATATTTATATCATTAATGTGAAAACTCTTGATGTTTATTCTGTGGTTATAAAATAAATAAACTGAAGTTAAACATCCAATTTACGCCACTTAAACATAAAAAATTCACCCGAGTTAATACGTAGTTTTAAAATTTAGGTACATAAATCTAACTCAGTAATCAAGTAGATATCCGTCTATCGCACTATAAATCAAAAATAATTTGCAGGACTTAATGCCTGGAATTAATTTGAACGTCCCAATCCAGTGCTCAAAACTTAAATGTTAACATCGCTATAAAACCACATCAAACAGGGATACGAAAAGTCAAATCCAAGGACAATTAATCACAGGTTGAAATCATGAGTCAGTTGAAGCTAGACCACCATTGAAAACCTGGAAGCACTGGACGGTCGTTTCTTCCTGGTATGGGACTCCTTAGCAGTGCGCATCCACGATCCCGCACCACGCGGGGCTCGAACCCAGGACCTACTGGCTTTGCGCGCGAGCACTTAACCACTAGACCACTGAGCCGGCATCCAACGGTGTTAATGTCTAACTTCAACCAATCCACGAAGTTACGCCACCGTACACCATTGTCTTCAGTGAGTTGTTATCTCACAACAGACCGGTTGAACTCCACTGGTAACGGCTTCTCACTAGAACTCCAGGTGGTCTAGCTTCAATTGACTCATGATTTCAACCTGTGAAATTTCTAAAACTCTCCACAAAACCCATTCTTATGACAATTAATCAGCAAATCGTAGTTGGAAATCATGTTTTTTTCTTCAAAAATCCTTTATCATTCAAAATAGAGGTTGTGTGGACTAGTTTTGATAAAGAATGGATTATGAGGAAATAAATTAAATCAGTCAGTAACACTTAAATCATACCGATAATTAATTCTTAATTAGATTTGTTATTAATTTCAGGAAGATAGATATTGTTGGGAGAGGTTATTCTGGTTATAACACTCGTCTGTGCAAACCATTACTTCCAATCCTCTATCCAAATAAGGACTCACTAAAGGATTGTAAATTTTTCACTATTTTTCTCGGAGCTAATGATGCTTGTGCCACTCCACAACAGCATGTACCAGTTGAAGAATACAAAAGTAATCTAAGTTGGATGATTGAATATATTCATGTATGTTTTACGAGGTTTAATAAAGAATTATGAAAGTAGTTTTTATCCGATTTTTTTATGATTTGTGTGAAACCTATGAAGTAGGCTTCTATAAACGGGCTTTTTGGATTATTAATTGGGTGCAAAGAATGTTAATCAATAGACTGTATGCTTGATCGAGTGATGGCTGCTCACGAGATCAAATAATTGATGTAAGTCTCTAAAGGACTTAAGGTCGAAAACAAGCCAGAACAATAGATTTTCTAAATAATAAAATGTTTATATGCGAAATCTTATCACAAAAATAGCATGATAAAATGTCATAAGCGATTGGAAGAAGTGGATGTGCACGACACCTACCTTCAATTAGCATATCAGATAAGTGGACTACCGGTAACATTTTCGCTTACACGAAATATATATAACGAAAAGTTTCTTAACACAGAATTGAGACCTTTTTCTTTTGAATTCAACTCATCTTCCAGCTTAACATAAATACAAGAAGTGTTACAACTTTGAGAGAGGAGTAGATGTTCTCAATTTCAAACGTCTCTAAAACAGTAAATCACTGAATGTTGTTATTATTTGTCACTAACTTTTGTCCTCTAATCTGTTACTCAATTGATTTTCTTTCCAATAATAGAAATTGGACGTGCCTATGGATCACATTTCACTAATCAGTTTACCTCCTATTGATGAGAATAAATGGGGTGCTATTGAAATAGCTAAAGGTGACTCAGAAATTTGGTTTTTATATTATATTACAATATATATAATGATTGAGAGCATTGGTTAAACTAAAAATACTTCGTAAAACGGTTATGAAAGCAAAGATAACGAATTGTATACACGAAAATGTCATAAAGAATACTTATCCATTAATTTGGTATCTCCTTCAACCGCATTTTAATAAAATTAACGTTGAAAGTCATTTGTATAAGGAATTTACACTTGGTTTTTTAGGAAGGGCAATTACACGAAGACTAGATACTTGTGCGACCTATGCAGTTGCATGTCAAGAGGTTGCCAACGTCAATGAAGTTAGTTTTGTGAATTTATATGAAGCTATGTTAATGCAAAAGGTAAGTTCCTCTTCTAATAAGTTCGATATTTTTGAGTAATGGGAGCATAAATCTTTGCGTACATAATTTACAAAAAAATTTCGGCAAATAGGATATATTGACTATTGTCCTGAATATGTTTCTGTTTAGTAGTTGTATATCAGTGAATTGAAAGGTTACTCTGTGAGAATGTTCTGAATATTGGGCGACTGTTTCTGGACTGCTTATGTTTACTAGACGAGGTTTACTGGTTGATTTTTGACGGCTCATCCTACTACTATCCGGTCTTGTTTACGAAGAAAGCAGACAGCTAATAAGTGATGGTAGGTTACAAGGGCTAAAGTATTCGACAAAACATATTACATAACTAAAGAATTTCAGAACCCACTCGAGGAATTTCTCTTCACGACTTAGTTCAATAAAAACGGAATTACAGCAGACTGAACTAAGTATATAAGTGACATGTCTTTTGAAGACTAAATTCAAGATTCACCAAAGGAAGTACTCATTAATCAAGAAATCATTTGCCTTAGTGCTATTTTTAATCATTAAAGTGGTTTTTAATTCTCTATTTGTCTACTTTTAGTGATACATGTCCAGCCAAAATAAAAAACAACTTGTAAAGTCGTTCAAAAATTTAGGTAATAATGAGGTTCCAAGTCGTTAGGTGTTATAAGCCATTAATCCTAGCTTTTGGTGTTTTGATCAATGGCTTTTGCATGCTTATCTGAAAGCGAAACCCTTTTTATTTGTCTAGATCTCAGCAAGTGTTTAACTTCGGTTATTCACATAATATATTCATCCAAAGACACCATTTTAATAATGTTATTTAGTTGTAAATCAAACTCCTCAAAAATTACATGGGTCTTTTCCTTTTCAGAATTGGGAGTCTTTCCTTTCAGACGGTTTACACTTTTCTAGAAAAGGATCTGAGTTTTTGGCAAGGATCTTAGAAGACTTACTTACGGATAAATTAGGTGACTTAAAGTGGTGGTTTCCGGATTGGAAAGTTATAAACCCGAACGATCCAGCGGAGTCTATCAGTCACTATCTTCAGTCCCAAATCTGATATTTTCTGAGTGACGAAAGACTTCTACGTGGCTTTACTAACTATACTTATTTAGATACATTGTGATTGTTGCAATTGTCTTCATTTGTTAGTTCTTATGTAAAGAGTTTAAACTTATTTGGAACATAGATAAATGTATGTTCTATTACAACTAAGAATATGGTTACTGTCCCTATTATTCTACGATTTTCCGTGCCGCTGTGTGGCATTTTGGATCAATGTACACTGTTATGTTTAAAGATATTACGAGTTCACCGAATCTGGAAACGGAACGAAGACTCTGTGTGTGATACAATGACAGATAGGCTAGCTATTCCAACGCGTCCCAACCCCGCGAACTAGAGAGATAAATCCAAGTGCGGAAGAGGCAAATATATTCCACAAACAGCCAGAAGCACGAACAACCACGACAAGACTAGTCGGAAATACACTCATTTATATATTGATTCATAGACCCGTTCTTGATTAATAATTAGAATAAAATCATTTATATGAAAAATACTTAGTTGTAACAAATCATATGCTGAGTATTGTTCATGTTAACTTAATACAAGTATATCGTATGTTACACAGAATAAAATGCAATACGGGAAAACGAAACAAATACTATATTGAGCAATCGTCACATTGAATTAAAACGGAATTAATGTTGAACGAAAATCATAATGAGTAAATCAATCTAATTTTGACTTTTCATCCCAAGTTCTACGTTGTATAAGACTAACGAGCATGTCTTACATATCCCGAACCACTGCCTTTGTTGACATACAATGTTGGTTGTAGTAAAAGTACGTTAAAACAAGGGTAGGTGTAGCCAAACTATGATGTAGTATCAGTTCACGAAACAATGAACTGCCAGCCTAAGCCATGTTGTTAAGTGCAGATTACTTGGTTGATGTTTGCAATATAATAACGATCAATGGTTGAAAATATTTGGTGATATGTTCCAAATAAATCCACTCTTTTATCCTTCCTTAGATCTTCAGTCCCTACAGTTCTTTATTATTTACTTGAACACAAATATTGGTACAAAGGGGCACCGATTACATATGCGCCGCACATTCACTTGATTTGTGTGTGGGCTGTGACACTGCCCGAGTGTCCAAACCTGAGTAGGTAGTTTCCTTAGGGAGCCTCCGACCTAAAAGTCTAATCCACAAGACAGTTTAGCAACGTCGGAAGATGCAGTTCCATGGTCGGCAATTGGTTCATACGCCATTAGTTACCTCAGGGTCCTGGACCCCATGTGCACCACTGGTTCGGAATCAGGGCTTTCCAACTAATAGGTGGACCCTCCGTGTTCACCAACCCGGTTGAAGCGCCGAACACTTGCTTTTCATCCTCTCGATTTTGTAAACAATACCCCCCACGCGATAAGGTAGTGAGTAGGACTTTCCTGACCGTGGCTATATATGCGTAGCCATATGAGAGTATTTCGAGAGTGAGAGCCTACTCTCCCCACCCTAGGCCGCACCAGGCATTTGGGGGCACAGTCCTTCACAAATACACTTTATTGAACCATTTTTCTCGATGACTACTCGTTCTCACATTTATTGATACTAGTACTTCATTGGTATTCATCTTTTTAATTTAATATGGCTATGCAGATGTTTCATGAGAACTTATTGTTGCGATCAATCCAAAGGCAGAGGCAGTGATGCAAAGACTAGAAGCCGCTATATTACCAGTGATCAAACCACAAATTTGGATTCGTTATGTAGACGATATCTTCATCATCGTCAAAAAGAATGAACTAGAAAACACTTACAAACGGATCAACAACGTCTTCGGTGACATCAAGTTCACCATGGAACAGGAGTCAAACAACAAACTAGCATTCTTGGATATATTGATCACTAGAACCGACACAGGAAAACTGGAAACTCAAGTATATAGGAAACCGACCCATACAGATCAAATTCTCAACTACAATAGCAACAACCCAAGAGCTCACAAAATCAACTGCGTACACAATTTGTTCAAGAGGGCGAGAACACACTGCAGCACGAAGAAATGAAGAGAAATACCCGAAGGATGTATTTCAGAACGGCTACCCAATCAACTTCATCAAAAAGTACCAACCGCACGCAACATTAGAACTCAAGTCAAGCACAAAATCAACAAAAGGATCACCCTACCAGATATACAAGGAATATCAGAAACCGCAAGACTGCTGAAAACCTTCGGAATAGGTGTAGCACACAAACCGACAAAATCACTGCAATCAACCATATGCAAACCAAAAGATAAAATAACAAAGGAAAACAAATCAAACATCATCTACAAAATAAGTTGTGCCAACTGCGAAAAACACTACATCGGACAAAGCGGACGCCCCCTTCACCTGCGCCTACATGAGCATCAATTAGCAGTCAAACGGTATGATATCCCCTCACTTATATCGATACACGTGGACAACTGCGGACACTCATTCGGTTGGGAAAATGTGGAAATCTTAGACATAGGAAACTCCAAAAACACCAGAGAATTTTTAGAAGCCTGGCACTCAGGTCAATCATCAAGCATATTGAAGTCAATCCAATTTATCAACCAATCAGAAAAATCATGCACAAACATAAGAACAAAAATCAAAACAATAGGAGACACAACCAAAACAAAGAAGTAAACAATGACAAATTTAAGGTCAATAAGAACCAATAAACATCGAGGTGCACAGAACAAGCTTTGAAACACATGGAGAAGTTCAAACACTTCACTTCTGTCTGAAGTTTGTGCTGATGATGTCGTTCAGAAGAACGATGAAAGCTCCACGACCAAACCATCCAGCTCAGAGAACAAAACTCCACCAAAATCACCCACCTGAGATACAAATCTTCACCATCTCAACGGCGTGTGTGCCTATCTTTTCGAGTGCTTAGGGTCTCGTTTAGTCGCACGGAGCACAAGATACTGTCTATTGGAATTCAGTCTAATAGAGCATGTTCTGCTTTTGAACTTAACGCTATACCTACACTAGCAAAGCCACAGGAAGTAGCAATAGGATCTCCAGATGCTCGAAGGGTAGGTAGTTCCGGTTTTTTATATTGACAAGGTGGGGCCAAATGAATGACTGGTTAGATCCTGTAAGCGCGTTTCAGAGACGAAACATAAATCGATGGCGCAGTGTCCAAGAATCCTAGCTAAGGAAGCCCTGTTATCTTATTTGACACAAGGTTCGAACATTAAATGCCCCAACATGTAATAATAAATGTGTTTTGGTTATGTCCCAATGAGCATAAAAATTGTACTTCTGATGTTTCGTGGCTCGGTGTAGGCCGCTTATTCAGAGTAAACAAATGACCCAAATTAAATTAACACAAGCTCAAATAGTGCAAAAGAAACATACTATTTAAACTTGTGTATCATTTAATTTTGCTTGCTATATCTAGATGCTTATATTCTTGATATACCGCGTATAACGTGAACACTAGAACGCTAGAACCATCCCAAGTCGCAATGAGAAGACTAGTGAAAGGAAAGTTATTCCAGACAGTGTCATGTTAGAGTACAAACTGTCAGGTATTTATAGTTTTTAGTAAAAACGAAATTATTATTATACCTATCCAATCCACACACAAGGGGTTATTAGCATTGTCCAATCGGGAAGCTACATGTAGAGATTCTAGAATATTACTCCAAAAGATGACTGGATGGAATATCTTCGGCTCTTTCTGAGCTTCTTAAGACTTCCTCGAGTTCACCTGTGGACCGCCCTCACAACCCTCCTTTTAAGTCTGTTGTGTAAGACTTTTTTCCCGGATCCACCTGAAACTTGGTTGCCGCATTTCTCTTGCGGTCCACCACTCTAAAAGGTTGCACAGCTTTGCTCCTACGTCGTTTATCTCTTCAACATTCGCGCTCCTGAGGGCTTTTCCGAGATGAATCCACGAGCAATTGGAATGGGGGTCAGCTTTGTGGGACAAATATGTTCTGCTGTCTCTTTGGATTTGATTTATGTGTCTTATACATTTTTCCGGACTAGGTACAGTACATTTCCGGTCCAACGTTCTATGATACCTGGTTCCCACTTCCTATTACCTTGATAAAATTTGACAAGTACCCTTTCACCCACCTGGAAGCTATGAGTGACCGTACGATACTTATTCGTGGGTTTATTTGTCGTTCTGCGCGGCAACATATTGCTAAAGACTGTCCAGATTTTTCTTCCGAACATACACTCGGCTGGTGACTTTGCTTCTGGTACTGCCGGACTAGGGGTAACTCTGTAAGACACTAGGAACTTACTGATCACTTGTTCTGGGATACCCTCACCTCCCTCTTTGACCAGAGCTCTTTTTATCGTATCCTCGAATCTTTCTGCTTGGCCATTGGACTGAGGATGGTACGGAGGAGATTGTAGATGCGATATGCCATTTTCCCTGCAAAAGCGGATGACATAAAATGAATGCCGTTGTCAGTCACCAAGATCTCTGGAACCCAAAAACAGGCAGAAAACCCTGAGAATCTTCTAATTGTACCCTCTGATGTCGTTTTCAGCATGTCATATACTTCTGGCCATTCTGTGAAAGCATCGACAACAACCAAGTAATTTCCGTCTTGTATTGGTCCGGCGAAATTAGCGTGTATTGTTTGCCAATGCCCGTCCGGTTTCGGCCACTCGTGAACTGTCCTCACAGCTTGTTTATTTACTCTGAAGAAGTGGCTTACACTAAGCGACGAAACGTTGGAAATACAATTTTTATGCTCATAGGGATATAACAAAAATACATTTATTATTAGCTCTACGCAATGCTCAATTTATTTGAAGCTATCAAGTTAAACGTTGGTATTGATGGCGATAAGCTCCAACATGTACTTTAGAGTGTAGTGGAAAAGATGTATAAGGTAGGATGGAATACTTAATAAGAGGTGAGGGATTCGAGATGATCTCGGGCGCTGATAGAGGTATGAGTGCGGTTGTTACTGCCCGGCTGCCCACACCGTGTAAGGATATTTCTTCTTAAGGGACCTGAGCAAAAGCTGAATTAGTGGTGGTCTGAGAGCGTGATTGTAGAGCTCAAGGGACAACTGCTTAAAGCCGGTCACACACGGCCTCTTTGTGTGAGGGTTTTGGTGAGTTAGCTCCGAACTTACCGCCGAGGACGGAAATCCGTGGTGTAAGGTGAGGTGTGACATTTTCAGGGTCAACCTTTCCTGATCTCTTCCTTCCGTTGTGAGAAGGCAGCATCGCTGCAGATGCCGAGAAACACCTTACGGATGTCGCACCCCTCCACAGTTGGCAGTACGACTTTGCCCTCTGACCTTAAATTGCTGTCTTAACGTTCTTCAAGCTGACATGATAGAGCCTAAAGGAACATTTGTTCCAGCCGAGGTAGCTCGGTTGGGTCATCACGATAGGTGATCCCAACCACCACGTCAAGGTAGCAGCTACGGTCGGGATTTTTTAGTTCAAAAAGGGATATATTTATATACTTACTAAGGTTCCAGACAAGGAATATCGTACAATAATTTGTACCAACCTTCTCAGCGAAGAATGAAAGAAATGAAGGTATACAAGTATTAGTTAGAAAATTATTTGACGAAAACAATTTCAAACAATACTAATGGTATTGGTTGATGAAAGCCAATGACTAATAGCATACAATGTCCCCAGTGTTACATGACTAGGTCCATTACCAACTTCAGATTCGGGTCTGGTATTGTGTGGAATAGTTGGATTGCGACTTGATGTTAGTCCACAGATAAGTTGATTCACGGGTACCGATTGCCAATCAAGAGAGTTTACACCCCAATACCTAAAAATGTAGAAAATCCAGAAAACTTATTCAAAAATGGACGTTTTATTGCCTTGATAAAATATTTCACAATGTGAAAGAAAAATAGAGAGCAGTGATAAAAGACAGTTGCTTACCAGCAGTGGTCAATTTCCAATTAATGTGACAATACACCTGTTGTTTGATGACTGAAACCCATGGTCATCGTTATTTGAGTACACTCTTTAAGCTCATACATATGTGAAACAGAAAATTATAAAGTATGGTATAATGTTTGAGTTCGGTTAACTTCTTAATCAAGAAGAATGAAAAAACTCCAGCAATTTTTAGCAGGGTTCGTTTCTGAGAGATGAGGATGCTAAATCCATCCAAAACCCCCCTACTTTATCGGGGACTGAGACCGGCAGTAACCCTAGAATGGCACCAAGAGGGTGGCATTTCTATAATCAAAGAACATCTGGAACTTAAAACAACAGTCAGCCAACACAAAAATCAGAACCTTCAATACGAACATCAAGATAGTTCTATTGTACAGAGTTGAAACTTGGAGAACTACAATCATCATCAGAAAGGTACAGGTGTTTATAAACAGCCGTCTACGAAAGATACTACATATCCGTTAGTCAGATACCATCAGCTACAACCTAATATGGCAAAAAACAAATTCCAGCTAAAGAGGAAATAGGATACACATTGAGTAAGTCATCAAACTGCGTCACAAAGCCTGCTCTAACTTGGAATTCTCAAGGCAAAAAGAAAAGCGGAAGACTAAAGAACACATTGTGTCGAGAGTCGAAGACAGACACTAAAAGAATGAACATCACTTGGAAACAATTAAAAAAGAGTGCCCAAGGCGGAACAGGTTGGAGATGTTTGGTCAGGGGCCTATATTCCACAAGGGGTAACAAGCGTAAGTAAATAGTGATAAAAACTACACTGAACCGTTCAGCGATTTTCACCTAAATGATGAAAGATAATTTTTCAGGAAATACTTTTATACAATCAACAAAAACGTCTTAATGAAAACAAATAAAAATCATTCAATTTACCAAACTTCTGTTTGATCATTATCAATCTGGAAAGTGGATGGCATCGTTGATAACTCGGGATAAAGATATTCCGAATTACTGATTGTGGACTGATTTTGAAAATGTTTTTCAAATGCCTTCCAATCATCACTTAATTTATTGAGAACAGGTCTCGGAAGCCAAACGGCTGCACATACTTCATTTACTTCAAGGTTAAATTGTGGTAAGTATGAGTGAATATCATCTGAATCTAAAACAGATCTATAAAATATCAAAAGACAGTATTTAGAAAAAGAATGGAGTTTATAACTACTTAGTATGCTTAATACCAAACTGAATATAAAGCCAAGGTATTGTGAAGTAAATAAACAACTGAAAATTTTAAGGAGTGAAATTTTACTTGTCATTTTTGACCTTGAAGGACTACAGTACGAAACCATTGAGCGGAATCTGTACTTTCTCCAGTTCCCGGAGAAAC